TTTTATTTAAGAGGAACAAGATTTCAACATTCTACAGTCCATTTTTAGTTGCACATTCAGAATTGTGTATTTTGCAGATACATCCTTAGTATTTCAGTCCTAGTAGTGACACTTCCCCCACACAGTAGTGTTAGGGATAACTCTCCCCATATTGAAGTTAGAGCACATTTACTAGAGAAAAAGATAGCTAAAAGCAATAGCTTGCAAGGCAAGTAGCCAGATTAATGGGCCTGTAGACCCATTTTGTGATTCTACAGAAACTTATTTGCTGTATAAGATTTGACTTGGCAGTTTTTCAGGGAAGAATTATAGCATTAATTTTTTTTTTTTTTACTGAAACTATGAAGCACTTTGATTCACAAAAATAGGTTTTCCTCAGCTAGTACCTGGAAGTTTTTTTTTTTCCTCACTTTCACTGTAATATCAGTAAGTGAAATCTGTATATTACAGACTATTATACAAAACATACATGCAGACTAGCTAATATGTGAATGGAGCTAATGAGACTTCTGCAAAGAACAGCAACAGAGAAATTTCAGGGTAAAATATGAGCAGATAACATCTTTCAGAGAACAGTTTCTCATTTTTAGTGATAATCAGAATGCTTATTTTTGTTTGAGAAGTCAGTTAAACTTAAGTAGAAGATGGTTTGTATTAGAAAAATATAAACCAGAAGCTAAACACATCTAAAAACCAGCTGTCTTGATAAGAGAAAGAAAGGAAAGGTGTGAAGCTAGCAGAAGGTTATAGGCTACAGTGAAGAAAAAAAACACCCTGAATAATACAATATGCTACCACAACTGTCCGTGCCAATGCAACCCAGGCAAGCATCCTTTTTCAGGTACAAAGTCTGTCTGTACTTAGGACTTTGTTATTTTAGATGTAACGGACAAAGCATTTGCAGTATAAAATAGCTCAAGCACAGTTATCTACTCTAGATCTTCTCATAAGAGTTCATATAATCAATTAAGTATTTATCTATTCAAGCTAGCTAATAATGACAAAAGCCAGTTCAAACCCATACACATTACCCTGTTGGGTTAGACTTCAGACCCAAAAGTACATTCCGTAAGTATCAATGGATAAAGGGCAAATTTTGTTCTAAGAAAAAGCAGTGTTTAAGGGAACTCCTTCAATTAATTGGACTCTGATGTTACTTACTTTGGAAAAGAAACTGAGATTTTTTTCAAGACTCGGTTTAAGCAATGATTTACATCATCTTTAGCATATATTCACATATAGAAAATACAATTTCTATTCCATACTCTATCATTTACTCACCATAAAAGACTTGCAAGCAGTTGTGCATGGAATATTCCTTCAACAAAACATGGGAGACAAGGAGTTGCAAAACCATTGGCAATGAATAAAAAAAAAAAAAAAAAAAAAAACACCAAAAATTATTAAAAACTATATTTGCAAAAGAATTGTTCTAAGAAAAAGCAGTGTTTAAGGGAACTCCTTCAATTAATTGGACTCTGATGTTACTTACTTTGGAAAAGAAACTGAGATTTTTTTCAAGACTCGGTTTAAGCAATGATTTACATCATCTTTAGCATATATTCACATATAGAAAATACAATTTCTATTCCATACTCTGGAATTTATTGTTGCATCTATAAACGTGGTAATGAATTCTCACCAATCCACCAAGCATTTGTGAAAAAGCATTACAGAGAATGACAAATATTGCCAGCCATGACCAAGCATCATTTACTACACCATAAAAGACTTGCAAGCAGTTGTGCATGGAATATTCCTTCAACAAAACACACCTGGTGTGAGACAAGGAGTTGCAATACCATTGGCAATGAATAAAAAAAAAAAAAGAACAACAAACACCAAAACTTATTAAAAGCTATATTTGCAGAAGACATACCATGTTTTTTTCTGGCATGATGCTTTACAAACTGAACTTGTTTAGGAGTGCTTTGACATATGCAGATTTTTCCAGTGCTTATTTCTGAAGATGTGAGACTTCGATCAAAATCTTCAATATAAGCCTCCAGAGCCTCAGATGCAGAGCTGTAAAGCTTGTCCTTGTACTGAATCAAACTGTCTGAGTATGGATTATTGCTATCAATGCTATAGCTTGTTAAAAGAGAAGATATTGTTGACTCAGGAGAGCAGATACTGCTTTCTTTTTTTGAGCTTGTCATAGTTTTTATCCAGGTTTCTATTAGAATCTTCACTCATCTTTTTAATCAATCTAAGTGGAAAAAGAAACAAAACCGCAAGTGATCATCTGCACTGAAATGTCTTCTCATAAATGTATCTAGGATTTTTTACTTTTGTTATGTAATTTTATTATTTTCCTAAAAGTTACTATTTAACTATTCAACTCACTGCTTTTCAAATAAGTTTGTCATATAGGTGCACCACCCCTAGAAAACTAAAAGGCAGGAAATAAAGGCTCTGGAAAAAAAGATAACAATAAGGAAAGCTTCTTGTATATTAAAACTTTAGTAATGGAAAAAAAAAAAAAACAACAGAAGAGCATGAAAACCTAGCTCCTTGCTAATTCTAGAGGAACCTCAGTACCCTGCTTTTGCAACAACAGAATTTCAGATAAGAATTGCTGACATTTGTCACCAAACATACAATTCAGCAAAGACACACAGAAGTATCGTAACTTTTGATTTCAGAACCAGTACAAGAGTACCATTCATGACCAAAAAACAGAAGTAGCTTAGATAGCACGAAAAACTAAACAACTCAATGTAACAAGAGTAGGAAGCCATTACCCTTGCAGATATTTTTATATAACCAGAATCGGTACACACAGCAAAAGAATTTTACGAGCCATATGGGAGCACTTAGAATCATCCTATCTACGCAATTTAGTCAACCCAATCCAAGCCGCCTTTGTAAACCCACAAACTGTAAGTTGAAGAACTGGAAGTGCACGCTTGTTCTAAATGCTGTAATCAGGACGGTCAAGGTCTCTGAAAGAAACCTAACAGTTCATTTCATCCCTGTAGGTAAAAGACCATCTGAAAAATCTGTTAAGGTGTTAAGGAAACTGGTGCTGCAACAAGGAACGATTAATAACTTTGTTATATCCAATACCACACGCGTACAAGGATCATCATGCAATAGCAGCATAAGGATTTATATGAAAACGGCACAGTGGGGACCAGCTCTTCCAAGGCCGAAGCGGTTTTCCCCGGAAAGCTGAGGAGCCGGCCCAGGCACCGGCCCGAGGGCACCGCGACCGGCAACAGAGACCTCCCGGGACCCCAGCCACACACAGCACCCCCGAAAGAGGCAGGGCGCGCCCGCA